TAGATTAGAACAAACTTGAACCACGATCAGTCGACAGATCTACATTGAAAGTTCTAAGTCTCCAAGATGCGCAGCACTTGCATTGAATAAGAAATAAATAGTGGTCTGCTGAAGAAGATTTGAAACTTGATACGCTTTCCCAGCTCATTGAGACAAACTAGTATGTCTCTCTGTGATACTACCAAGGTCATGCGTATTCATTTGCAAGATTCGCTTTAAAATTTGAAACAGCCATCATTTCTGGATTGGGATCCGGACATGGTTCGTGAAGAATCCATTGGAGCAACCTGGAATCAAATCCAAATTCTTCGAATGCTTATGCACTTTTTAAAAGGTTCCCACCAAACATGGAGACCTAAGCCAGAATTGAATTAGTAAGGCTATCAGAGACACGACATTAACATCTCACCGTGTTTCATTACCCATCAGGGTCCAGAACTTTTTTCCCCCTCAACATGCGCCATCGCTACTACCACTAAGATAAACTATCAGCCGCAAAGGCTAACTTCAAAGGGCAGCAGCTGAAACACATGACTGCAATGCGCAATCGAATTGCTGCAGACTAATGCAGTGCAGTCAGAATGCCTGACTGTCGCCTAATTTTGGTGGGCAAGAAAAGCTTGGATAATGGCACGCCCAAATTGTATTGAATAGGCTTGCGATTGCTTCAGCTGAGTCTTGTTCCCCGTGAATCCAGCCTCATTACGGGTCACTAGTGCCTCTTCTTCTTGGGTGCAACCAAATGGTTTTGGGCGACTCAAATCCCGAAGAAAGGCAGCATGACTCCAAAGCTGGAGTGGCTTGAGTGTTTGCCCGCCGAAACAGTAATGGTATGTAAGTGTCTTCTCTGCTTGCGCATACCGCAAAACTGAAGCCATGCATCCCGAAGCAGGAAGCACTGAGTTCTGAGGCTGTTCCAAGCCAAACCGAAGCAACATCAAGAAGCCCAATAAGATCAAAAGCGCCGACAAATCACCCAGGCAGTTCCCTTCTGCCACAAAATATTTGGACTGGTCCCCCAAGTACCAGTTCTCAGAGGATCGCATTGACTGCGCTCGACACATGATTGTGTAGCTGTTGCATGGGGATCCAAGCCATTGCAAAGCTCCTGGCGCAGACGCTGCCAGCAAGGACAGTGCTAGTATCAATCCATGTGGCTCTAGCACATCATGCTCCTGGCTCACCACTTTGTCCATGGCCGCAGCATTCAGGCCGGATTCCACTGCTGCCAAAGTGAGGTTGCCTTTGCCACAAAAGTACTCAATGCATTGAAGCTTCGATCTCCCGCCGGCTCGATGATACCATGTTCTCACCACTAACGCTGTCAGCATATCAGCCAACGGCATTCCACGCATCCATGGGAAAGCAGCTTCTAAGTATAGTGGCCACATTTGCTGAGCCCTGCCATTGCTGATTGCATCATCATACTCGAAGAATCTGGAAATGTGTGTTTGCACCTCTGCAAGCCTTGAGGCCGCTGGCCAGCACAAGTGCCCATTCTCATCTACCGGAAATTGTTCCACTTCCGACATGGATGAGCGTGTGATGCCCTGGCTGCATTGCACAAAGAGACTTTTGTGCACTTGTTCAGTCTCCAGCCTCTTTTCCACAGCGTCCAGAAGCGCATCCATGTCCATGCGTCGCCACACAGCTCTCGGATTTCGCACTCAGCCTTGGTACACCTCATCCACTGATTGTTTTCACTTACCTACCCTGCTGTTGTGCTGTTGTACTTTGAGCCCTCCTTTGAGCACCTTTGAGCTCCTTTGAGCCACTTTGAGCTCCTTTGAGCAGTTGTGAGCAACTGTGAGCATTTGTGAGCAACTGTGAGCATTTGTGAGCACTTTGTGAGCAATTGTGAGCAAATGTGAGCAATTGTGAGCACACATATTAAATTAAACTCTAATTAGAATCTCTTAGTTTGACACTAGTCACACAATTGACACTCATTTTGTTCTCCTCTGGCATGTTGCTCCCACAACAGGTTCCCTTCCAATGCATCGACGGTCTATGGGATTCTGTTGCTAGGCAGGCATGTTCTAATTTCATACCTCTCCCCAAGACTCATCCCCGATATTCCGCAAGAGTACTCGATGGTAGTTCCATCAGTACAAAGGGTTGAGCATTCAAAATCAATAACGAACTGCACAAATAGTCAGTAGCAAAATGGCCTCACAATCCTCCCGAGTTGTTCATCTACAAAACCATGGGCTGCACACCATCAGACTCTGCCGCGCCAGCGTCTGCCAACTCAGCATCCAATGCCTCATCACCCTCAATGGCATGTCCAGCAGCCGACGGGGCCGATGCTCCAGCAGCTGATGCAGGAACAGCATTTCCCTGGAACTGGATGGAAGTACTGCGTTGGCACTTGTATGGGCAAAGTCCACGGCAGTTCTGAAAGTTCCACCAGTTCTCCAAGCAGACCTTGTGATGCACATGACCACATTCAGTTGCCTCCAGCACTTGAGCAGGAAGCCCACCACCACGCAAAGGCTGCTGGCAGATGCAACACTTCGTATCACTCAAGTCGGACTGTTGCTGCAAGGCGCCATCACCAGGAACATCCACTGCAGTCGCAGCTGATTCAGGAGGAACTACCTCTTGATCAGCTTCAGGTTCAGGCCCAGGTCCTTCCTGAATGTCAGCACTTGCTTCATGTTCTTGCTGACCAACAGAACTCTGGGCCTCCAGCTCAGCCTCAATATCAGCCTCGAACTCTGCCATCACGACATCCTGGCACAAAAGATAAGTCAACACAATTCAGGCCTATTCCTTAAACACTATGCACTGCACAGAACTGCGAGACGAAATGATGATTGCTTGATTGTCTCGCCTGAGGACAGGATTACTATAAATATCTATAAATGATGCAATACCCGGCCCGAGGTTGAGACACCCTAAACACCGAACATCAAACGCAACGCTCATTGGGGACCTCTGCGACTGCAGCGGCAGGGCTTGTCACAGGCGGCGGCGGCACAGCAGGTAGAGAAGCAGCAAGGACAACAGGGCGGGTAGCAGCTTCAGTTGCAGCTGGAACTTCAGGAACATGCACAGGACCTGCTGCTTTGCTTGCAACTGGAGCTGCTTTGGCAGGAGCATGTGCACCAGGAACACGGACAGGGCTTGCCTTGGCTTTGGGAACAGGAGGCAGTCCCATGACCACAGGCACTGCTAATGTTGAACGACTGGCATCTGCAGGCACCACCACAGGCGCTGATGTGGCAGCAGCTGCTTTGGATACCACTGCAGTAGCCATCATCTTGGGCAAAGTCTGCTGGTTTTCAGGGTGCACCCTCGAAGCAGCTTTGCCACTACGTTTGGGAACAGCAGGATGATCCAAAGACATCCATTCATCATCGAATCCTTCTTCAGCAGCCAACGCAGATACCCACTCATTCTGCAATACAGGTTCTTGACGAATAAGAGCAACCACCTGTTGCATTCTGGGGTTGTTTCCGCTGATTCGCTCATGGACTCGTCGAAGACGTGTGTTGAAGTCTGCGTAGTTGCGGACTTTCAGTCTCGCTATTGATGTGCATGGCTTCTGACGTGTCAGGATCCAAAGTAATTTGGAAAGCGACTCCTGAGTCAAGTCGCTTGTAGCTGTAGGGTCCAACTGCCCATCCACTGCCTCTACAGCGTCAGCGAGACGCACCTGCAGGGAGCCGAGTGTTACTTACTATTTATATAGACAACATCTGACCTGTTGGAACAACAGCAGGGCATTTAATTTGAGTGGAAACTTCAAAAGTGTAAAGCAAGGGAACTATGCCTCTGCATTTGACAACCTTGCCTTGGGCAAGCCCCTGATCACAGCAGTCCTCCTGGTGATGTTCATGTTTTCTCTGTCGCCATTGTAAAGGTCAGCCCTGTGCTGGTCCAATCCACGCATAGCTCGATTGACTGCCTGGCTGAAGACATCGCCCAGAGCAGACTGCTCAGACGCTAGCTCCTCAGTAGTAGCCACCATCTGCGCCTGCTGGGTTGACTGAGCAGGCACCGGTTGCGAAGCTTTGGCAGCTGCTGATGATGAATCACGGCGGCCATGGTGCTCACGCTCCCTGTCATCATCTGACTCTGAACTGGACTCCACATTGGAGCCCATGGGGGCACCCATGGCAGCAGCCATCATTGGGTTCATGAAAGGGTTCATGGCCATCATAGGATTCATCATAGGATTCATCATCATCTGAGATTGGGCAGCCTGGGCCTTCTTCATTCGCTTGTTCTGTCGAGCAGTGCGGCCCATTGTGACAGACAAAGGTCGGATTCGGGACGCAAATCGGTCAGTGGCTTATGTGAGTTCGATCACTGAAAAAGCATCTGATAGAAACCACCAAGTAAATATCACTCAAGCAAGCAGCTCACAAAAAGCAATCGGAAATTGATCAGTGGACTAACATGATCCTGCTGACTGGTTGACCTGACACTCTAAGTGAAAATGGCTCATCCTTAGTCAAAACAAAACCGCCTAGTGAATGCTGGTGAGTGCTAAAGCATCACAAACACATTCGCCTCCTCTGGCCACACCATGCTTTGCCCCTGCAAGTAGGAAGCCTGGGCAAGGACAACCCTTTCCAGCGCCAAAGCGTGAGACATTCAACCAGTAAGACACTGTGCTAATTATTAATGTTGGAATTATCTAGCAATGGCCATACAAACACATCACCTAACATTGAATCAACTTGCAAATGGTTCACACGACAGGGACAGACTGAATGCAAGGAATCGTCTTTGGCATCGACATTGAAACCTCTCTCTTGACCTCGCTTGGAGGGCTCCAATTTGGGGGCCAATGTTTGCACCAGATGCCCAATGAGCAGCACCATGACACCATGACAACTAGAATACATCCAAACTGAAACTCACAAACCTTTCTTACTCATCTATCAGATATCAAGCACCAGAAAGTGCAAGCATTGACCCAACATTTCCGGGGCGCAAATAAAAAGCACTGACCCTGGCCTGCTTTACCACGGGGGGGGCAGAGCAGCATAAAGCGCAGCCACCAGGCCTGAATGGACATGACATTCTGCCGAGCTGTGACCAACTGTGACCATTGGGGATGTTTCAGAATGACGGTGCCCTTTTTCGTATGGAGCAAGGACTTGAACGGAAGTAAAAAGGGCACATCATTTTGAGACATCCCCAATTAAGAACAGCTGATGATGAAATCAACTGATCAACTCATCTTAGTTTACCATATCATGCGATGTGGCCTTTTAAGTAAACAAACAGTGACCTTGACCACAATTTAACAGGTTTGTTTGCTTGGATTGTCTGACGCCCAGCCTTTTTTGAGAATCCTAAACAAATGATAGCCGGACTGCATTATTAAAATTGTACAAACTTGCTGAAGCTGAAGAATTACTACTGAGTGAAAGGCCTCCAATGGATGTTAGTTCAACAGCTGCAAGAGACACCTTTGTACAGACACTGTGGCACATGAAGAAAGTCGAAATGATTAAGTTGCAGGACTATTGAATCAAACTCAAAAGGATGTGGACAGCCAACATTTGGCCCAACGATTCAGCACTCAGTTTCCAAGAACACAATAAATCAGGACACTAGTCATTGACTGACAATTGAGGTCTAGACCCTATACGACGTTCCAAGAGCCAGGGCGAACTTGTCCAGGTCTTCATCGGGTCCTGCCATCAAGCAACACAGTACACAGTCAATCAAAGAACAACTTGTCCGCCACACAGATTTCCAGCTTACTACGTGAAAGCTTCTGTCTGTAATTGACTGTAATTAGTAGACTGGTTGCTGAATAATGATCTGAGTGAAGGGCCTCCACTGGATGTTAGTTCAACAGCTGCAAGAGAAACCTTCGTACAGAATCAGTGGCACATGAAGCAAGTTGCTATGCAGCACCTGACTGACCGACATTGTAGTCGTGCAATTGAATTGAATCACATCGAAAGGATATGGATGGCCAGCATTTGGCTCAACAGTTCATTCCGCTTCAAAGTCCAAGAGCAACATAAATATAGTACAGTCAATTGAGGTCTAGACCCTATACGACTTTCGGAAGGGCCAGGGCGAACTTGTCCAGGCCCTCATCGGGTCCTGCCGTCACGCGCCACACAGTCAGTACACAATCAAACAGCAACTTGTCCGCCACACAGTTTTCCAGCTGACTAAATACATGAATGCTTCTGCTTTGGATGCCCTTATTTACTCTTGTTTTTGGCCGTAGTATGCTCAAGCTTGCTTCCCAAATACAGTTTAACTTGAAAACAAGCGAACACTTCCGACGGAGAGGTGTTATTAAAGGTGTTGGAGCCAAGCTGTGAATGAATTGAAATTCAGTTCTTTAGTTTTTAACATCTCATCTCTTTTTCCTGTAAGTTCTACAAATCTGCATCAAGCACAAGGGGAACACCACTTGGATTGGCTTGCAAATCTGACCCCCACAAGTCCGGCTTTCCCCCTCCAAAACCTGCATTTCAGCCGGACTTGTGGGGGTCAGATTTGCAAGCCAATCCAAGTGGTAAAACCGCAGTAATTGCACCTCCATCGGCAAAGCGTGTAGAAGCGCTGAAATGAAAAGCTCCCAGACCTCAAGGGATTGCACCAATCAAGCAACAAATAAAAACTCATGCCATCAACAGCGTTGGTAAGTAAGTAAACAAAGCTGTTCGGTCACAGCATTATCACGTGGTCAAAGACTAAGTCAGAATGGGGTGTCAGTTAATTGGTTGACAGCTGTTGTTGAGTTGAGTGGCAGACCGCGAAGAAACCACAAAGGTATAGCGTCTGTGGTATCCTGCCACGGTGTTCATCAACTGCGTTTTTCTACTGATACTGTATTAATACGCTTGCGATGCACTGCAAACTCAAAGACCAAAGCCAGTACTATAAGACAAAAA